TTGTGAGAGCAAAATGTTATCATTCAACTCTATTTTTATTCATTCAGTTTTAAGATTATCTAGCTATGATTTTTATTATTATAGTTCCTATATTAATGGGGAATCAAATTATCATGAAATTTAAATTTTTTTAACAATGATTGATACCCATGTCTAATGGAAAGAAAGATAATATATGATCATTAACATTTCAGTCTCTGACATTATGACCAAGGCAGAAACTTGACATTATTTTTATTTCTGCTAAGCTAATTCTTAGTCTAAATATTAACGATGTAACCAATGACAAGACAATCTTCAATTATTTCGTTCAAAGGTAATGACGATTGATATGAGAAATATCATTAATATGTCCATCTTAAACAAGATTAAGCAGAGAACCACTGTGGGACCGAGTTACACTTCTCTCATCGAATGCTGAGGCTTTTGGGGATCCATCTGAAAAGATAATATTTTCTATTTTATCCCTGACTAAGAGTAGGATATTACACTATAAGAGTTTAATTTCTATGATAGGTGATAGTTCCTCTCAGACATCTCCTTCTTGAGCGAGAGGATCCTTGTCTTCTTTGGCTAACCAAATGCATTACTTAATTGAGCACTTTTCTAGATTGGAGAGATGAAAATAAGATGTGGGTTAGATAATTGACTATTACATGGACCAACATCAGAGGTAAAACTCTTACATGGCTATGTTTAACTCAACCCTTGCCAAATGTTTTAGCACAATCAGTTGAATTTGGGTCCTAATGCAACCTAATTCCTTATTGTACCATCTTTTTAGTAGATGTTGGCTAAAGTCGACCATTGAAAGAAGGTGGAGATCATGACACATGATGAGGTATTTAATGATTGATTTACTTTTGTCATGTTATTTCTATGTATTATTTTGTATGTTCTTTTATCTTATGTGTGTCTTTTATTTTTTATACTTGTATATCTTTTTTTCTCATTATTAGTAATGAAAATATGTTTATTTATTATATAGTGAATTAATGTTTCTTTTAATTATAGTGTTTGAATAACAAGTCTGGGAGGGTCTTATATTTATGTTCCTATAAATATGTGATCTTTTATATCCTCAAAGTGCTCTCTTTATAACATCATAACATTGGTTTTGTCATTTGTTATTTTTCATACAACCTCCCAAATTGATACATAAGACTTAGACTTAGTTTAATTTAAATTTTAGAAGAATATATACTCATTGAATACAAAA